ATTTATTTATTTATTTAAATTCTTATTATTGAGTGGTGTTCATGAATAAGGTAGGATGTAATAAAATCTTTGTTGTTTTTCATGTATTAGTTACCCCCTAATGTTAGGATTAACCAATGAAAGTTTGCCACACATGATGTTTATACTTTTCCATAATTATGTCCACTCCATGGCTCTTAATTGCATTTAATCAGCTTACACATAGGGCATACATATAGAGGTCACTGCAATGAAGTACCTGCTTACATGCTGTTGCCCTTGTTGTGTTTTCAGTTCATTTTTCCCTGGAGTACTCAGCTCTGTAGTTTACCCTTGAGGGGGTGGCTAGGTGGGGGACCACTCACCTCTCGAAATGCTAGGTAGCTTCATCTGGGGAAACTGGGACATTGATTTAGTTCGACACGATTTTGGTCGTGTCGAAAGGGGGAATTGTTAGGTTATTTTTTAGTTAGATAGATATTCAGAGATTTGTTGTCTATGAATGTTTAGTGCAGACTGCAGGCACTTCAAGGTTACAGGAAAACTGCTGTTAGTGTCAACTGTAATGCTAGTCTTAATATTTGTCTTACTGTGTAAGGTTATGTCCAATTGTTTTAGATACACACCACGAAAACAACAGTCACGCACCTTGACTTTTCCTCATGTTTTGGCTAAACGTTATGGCAGCTGCAAGGCTTGCTTATCAGGTGACGTCACGGTTCGACAGCCCAGAAAGGATTAATATTGTATAGCAATGCTTGGTTCGGGGTCTTCCTGCTTCCGGGCTGCTTTGGCAGGCTGGGGGTTTGGAAGATCTCTGGACTGGAAGTGTGGATTCTTGCCTGTGACTTTTTGAATAAACCAGCACGGATATATTTTTTATATACTCAAGTGGTCTGAGTCGTCCCTCTGAGTTCCTGGTTTGAAAGAACCGGATGAGGCTTTATAATGGTTTTTAGCCTTTAGCAGTTACCTCTAAAAGCCAGGCCTGATCAGCTGTTTAATCGGCAGCTCAATAGAAAAATACACCACTAACAACAGCACAGAGCCACCACCAACAACAGTACAAGTTCTGTGTTGGTGTAGGTGTGAAGGCAAGTCTACAGGGCCATTGGTCAGTGTGTTCCAGTGCTTCACACCCCCTCTTTGCCTTCACCCACACACCCAACACAACTCTTCATCAGTATACTCTGTTGAACCTTTCAAACAACAGTCAATAACTTACAGCTATCTGTTATCTGTTAACAAGCCCATGGTCCTGTGCTAGTCTGCCTCAGTTTAACATTCACACTACACACTGTGTTAGAACTTACAATTCAATCTGCTCTACTAGTTTTATGCTTGAGTGTAACAACATGTAAGCTACACATTTTTGACAACTTTCTTGGAAAGACAATATTCAGGGTACCTGCGCATTATCACCTCACTTTGGCTGTTTGCGTTGCATCTCTTTTCACTGGTTTCTGTTCCCTCTTTCTCCATTGGGTGCATGGCTTCTTCAAAGGCGTGTTCTTACCCATTACCTTGACTTTCTCTGGGATGTTTGGCACATACAGGAGCGGCCTGCAGTGTCTGAGCCGGGTGTGAGGAGCTGGTTGTGGTCCAAATATCACATTAGCAGTCTTCCAGTCTGGTAAGCCACGGACTATTGTTCAGGTAATGGAGACAGTTTTACAAACCAGCTGAAAAGTGTTGAATCATAAAGTGTTTCGGCTCACTGGCAAATGTGGCTATCCATCCATCCATCCATTTTCCTCCGCTTATCCGGGACCGGGTCGTGGGGGCAGCAGTCTAAGCAAAGA